GGATGCAGGACGTGTGTTGGTGTTGGTCTGGTCAGGAAACGAAGCGGGATTGCGGACAAAATGGCCGGACCGGGGGTTCCGCCATTGAGCGGAAGTTCAAGCGGATGATAATCCGGTGGCGGATCACGCCAACGGAGAGGGAGCTCGAGCGGAGGGTATTCGTCAACGATGGTGGGAGAATGGCGGGACTGATGTCGTTTGCGAGGAGCGGACGAGGAGAGCGAAGAAGAAGAGGGATACCTCGGTATGGTTGCCGACGACATTCTCATCTTCCTTATTGCCCGAAAGTTTTCTCGAATCCGATCAAGGTTTCTGTCTACCTGATCGAGCGATTCCTTCGATTGAGCTTGATAGAAGGCGATCCGGCTTCGAGCATCGTCGACAGCCCACCTTCCTTGGCGTCGAACGTCGTCGACCGCCAATCTTATTCTCCGGCTTCGATCGTCGTCGACAGCCGACCTTCTTCCGCAGTCCATCGATCTTCACAAGCTCCAGGCTCTGATACCAACTGATGTAGTGGATCGTCGGAAGATGCGACCTGCAAGAAGGATTTGGGTTTTCCCAATCCAGGGAAGAAGAAGAAGAAGTTTTCAAAGCTTTAAAAAGGAGATAATTTCATTCAATGTCCCAACTCTTCTTACATCATACTATATATAATAATAAGGTAGAAAAACTAGAGAAAACTAGAGAAAACTAGAAAGTTCTAGAATCCTATCATAAGCTTGTAACAAACTAGATAACATATGTCTAAGGAACGATTTAAGCTAAAATGCTCCGCAATCACTTTTGCTCCAGCACTGGCCTTCATCAAGGTTGTCCTCTTAGCCCTATTTATTTTGTATTATCATGGATGCTCTCTCCTGCCTCATTGATGACACTTCTCAGTCCAAAAGCTTTGAAGGTTTTAAGTATGATACTTTCCACATTTCCCACCTCTCTTATGCGGACGACGTCCTTGTATTTGGGAAAGCGGATATTAACAATTGTGAATGCCTCCTGGGCATTTTGAACCATTTCTCTAGTGTATCTGGCTTACATCTCAATCTTCAAAAGAGCTCTCTCCTGATTTCCCCTCATGCTTCTAGTGGACCTAGCATTTCCCTTGCACTCCACATCCATAACTGCTCCACCAAAATGACCTACCTGGCTCTTCCCATCTCTATGGGAAGATCTACACTCGCTGATTTCAACTCCTTGATTGAAAAAGTTACTAACCTGATTTCAACCCCTTGTTCAACTTTTTTAGCAATCGGATGATCAAAATAAAGCATACAGGTTGTTATACTTGAGAAACATATAACTAGAAATGCTATGAGATGCATCCCAACGAAGGAGCATAACAAATACAGGTTATCAAACTTGAGAAACCTATAACTAGAAATGCTATCAGATGCGTCTCAAATAAAGAGCATAACAAATAAAAAAGTAATAAAAAAAAACGTGCATCCCAAAAAAATAAATAAAGAAATAAAACTGTACGTGCAGGCTAAGCATACGAGTGCATTCATGTGCACAAACATGAGAGACAGAGATCACTGCTGCAACGACAGAAGTTACTTGAGAGAGAGAGAGAGAGAGCTAATACAGCATCAGATATTTTAATCCATGAAACTGCAATATTCAAAAAACAGTGTAAATCACATTTAATTACATGTTTTATTACAAATAATGGATAGATGTGCAAGCCATCATAAACAAGTGTAAATAAACCTATAAGATGCGTTCACCTGAACAAAAGTTGCAGGTGCCGCTGACATACTGAGACGGCGCTCGATGCACTTTATTATCTGCAGGAAATCAAGTAGCTTTGCTCACTATGAGAACTCAAAAAAGAACGGTCAAAGAAGGAACTTTTACCATAGAAATTAGATCAAAGATATTGATGCAGTATGCCTGTGATAATGTGGTATATAACAATTTTATGCATTATTTAATATTTTGATGCTATTGGTTAGATCAATTTACAACTTAGAGTTCGAGTTACTTCGATTGAGCTCCATCAAATTCTCTTGTTCAACTATTTTTCATCCTCTGTTCAGAAAGCCAGTCCTTTGTTTTTGTTTGCCACTGTTAACTGCTCTTTACGGACAGTTGGCATACAATCTCACCACTGTTTGCGGTCTTTTGTTTTCTTCTATATGGGATCCCTTGTAGACTTATTTGTTTTCTTTTATGTGGGATTTCCTGTAGAGTGGTGTTGATTGAACTGCAGCTATAGTTGGTTGTAAGTAAAGACAAGCGGCGGCTGCACTGCTCACCCATCCGGATATTTTTCCAATTTTAGCATTGCTTGCACTGGCTAGAAGTTGGATTATGAAATCAGGACTTGTTTTTCCTGGAATCCAAGATTGTCGAAATAGAAAATTGCATTTTTTAGCTAGACAGTGGGATTTAGATAAATGATAGGAAACACTTGGATTTCCAAGTGTTTCCTGCTTCTCACCTAAAACCAAGCTAGATCCAATGTAAAACTGACCTGTCCACAGCAGAAAAACAGCAAACAGTAGGCAAAAAGCAGGGAAAAACTGCAGCTATTGTAAAAGAAAATCACGGAGAAAAAAGACTTGTATTTAACTAGTAGTTTGCAATGGAAATTAGCAAAGATACAATTGAACTGCGCCTCTTTTGGGGTTCCTCAATTCGGATGAGGCAGGATCCGCATCTCTCCCAAATCTCTAGACGCCGCCTAGAGCCCAAAGACTCAAAACCTAAATCTACAAGGATCTCAAATTTCAGCCAAAATTCAAGATGCCCAAACCCTAGCCAAATCAATTACTTTAATGCATACAATTACAAAAGGCAATTCCACCTAAACAGTACCCATGCAATCAAATTCACCTCCTAAACTTCCTCAAATTTCCTTAACCAGAAACGGTCTCTCCGCAAGACGTGCGTCTCCCGCCGCGCTTATACCGTAATCCCGCCAGCGGAGCCTGGATTTTCGCGATTTGCCCTCTGCTGAACCTGGTCCCGCCTGGACCGCTGGACCGTTCCAGTGCCGATCGGTTCATAACAATACTCACCTCCCAAAGAATCCACTTGCCTTCATCAAGGTTGGAAAGACGAACACCCTGCCCATTCCTTCTTCATCAACAAACTAGTTAAGACATTGAAGGAGTCGGTCCTATACCATGATGCCCCGCGCCGATCCTTATATACCTCCTTATATCGTCACATCTGCAAACAAAGCCCTTTTGCCCTTCATTCTCCTCTTTCCCCATTAATCTCTGTCATCACGTGAGCGCTTCTTGCAAGTTATCCTCCACTCCCTCCTCCTACTGGCTTCTCCCTGGTGATCTCATGATTGTTGACTATGCAGGTCCCTTTGATGCCCTAAAAGCGTCGCGTCGTAGTCTTGTAAGCAGCCTCGGCTCTGCAGCTGCCTGCTCCTGGGGGCGGCGGGGGGGGGCTCCCTTCTCAGTATATTCTGATTTTCTACCAGCGTGCCAACTTCATTGCCCTCCTCCAAGTCACTAGGCATCAGAACTTAACG